TATGCTTATTTATTATTGTTGAAATCAATAATAATATTATTTATATATTACTGTATTGTATTTCTATTATTTCAAAATTATATTTTAATATTAGAATGAATTACATTGTTACTACTGTTATATAATAATATTATTTATAATATTTTTATTACCACTATTGATATCATTACAGTATTATCATCATCCGTCATCATCATCCTCATCATATTCGTCATCGTCATCATCATTCTCATTGTTGTCTAATCATTATAATCATCCTTACTATCATCGATCGTTGTAATCATCACCATCATCATCATCATCACATCATACTCATCCATCGTTATCGTCCTCATCACGTCCTTATCAATCATCTATCGTCGTTATCATCATCCTCATAATCTTCATCCTCCTCATTCTTCATCATTTTCTTCATCATCATATTCATCCTCATCCATCATCCTCATCATCATCAATGGCATAGCCAACTATTGGCACAGTTGGGACAGTCCCACACCATTTTTCCAATGGGTCTACAAAAAATGGTCCACATTTTTAAAAAGGGTCCAAATTATGTAATTTTATGCATAAAATGGATCCAAATACCTTATATTTAGTTAAATATGGGTAAAATTTAAGAAAACGGGTCCAGATATTTCATATTTTTGCGTAAAATGGGTCCACATTGTTTGAATTTACACGTAAAGTGGGTCCGCTCTGATATTGTCCCACACCGTTTGAAAATACTGGCCATGGCATTGATCCTCATCCATCATCGTCACCCTCATCACAATCCTCACCAATCATTGTTATCATCATCACCATCACCTTCATCCTACTAATTATCCTCATCCATCATCATCCTTATTCTCATCATCATCAACCTCATCCTTATCCTACTTATCATCATCACTCATTCATCATCATAGTCCTCATTATCATCATCATCATCTTCATTACAATCATCATCTATCATCATCATCCATCATCATCCTTGTCCTCATCATCAACCACATCATCATCAGCCTTAATCATCCTTATCAATCATCATCCTCATCATGAGGATGATAATGAAGAGGAGGAGGACGACAAGAATGAAGATGAAGATGAGGGGCAGACGGGATGTTTCTCATCATTCGTCATCATTAACCTCATCAACATCATTCTCATATCAGTATCATCAATCATAATCATCATCATCCTTATTTTCATCATCATCAAACTCATCATCCTAATCCTTCTCCTTATTATCATCATTATCCTCACCATCCTTATCAGCATCATTTCTTCCTCATCATCATCCATCATCAATCATCATCTACCTCATCATCTTCCTTCTCCTCATCAGCTGTATTATCCTCATCCTCCTCATCATCATTCTTATCTTAATCACCACAATCATAAGCATCATTACCATCATCCTCCTTATTATCATCATCATCATCGTCAACATTACCATCATTTTCATCGTAATCCCCTTCATCATCAGTCACTACCATCATCATGAGGATGATGAAGATGAGGACGACAAGAATGAAGATAAGGACAAGGGTGAGGATGAGAGGGATGATTCTCATCATTCATCATCATCATCATTCTCATCAATCATTTTCTATCATTCTCATCACCATCATCACAATCATTATCATCAACAACCATTATCATCAATCGTAATCACCATCATCTTCTTCCTCACCATCATCTTCTACCTCACCATCATCCTCATCATCTTTCTTCCCCTCATCATCATCAACATCCTCCTTATAATGGGGAATATAATGAGGATAGGGATGACAATAAGGAAGATGATGATAATAATAATAATCAGTATATTATTATTAATAATAACAGTACTAACGCTAATATTAATGTCAATTATAAACTATAAATTTTTTAAAACGCATAAGAATAATGATATACTTTATTAATAATATTATAGAGTAACAACATAATAGTATACTAATGATGATGAAGAAAAATGTAGTGTAGAAAGATTAAATTCAAATAGGTAAACATTTCCTTTAATTTTGATTGTCGTAGTCTTGGAATTCGGTGTGTTGACGTCATCATTCCAAATTTGCTTGGGAGGTGGGGAATTCCCGTCTGACAGGCCTAGACTCCCATCGTCCGATACCTCGACAAGGTTGCCACACCACAATTTACATTAAAAACATAGTTTTTACCACCTTAATGGACGCCATCTTGGAATTTATCATGATGACGTCATCATTCCGATCAAAATTTTAAATGAGAGTGATGAGTAACTATTTAGCCAAGTTGTTGTTACATTTCATATCCACAGTATATGTAAAAGTGACCAAAAACAAATTTATTTCCCCTACCCCCATCTTAAACAGTTTAAAATAGGGTATTTTAGGTCAAAATTTCAAAGTGCTGTAAAAAAAATTGCCCAAGCCCTAGGCATGGGGATTTTTTTTCTGAGACACTATAGGGTATCCTGATTCAGAAAAACCAAAAATTAATTTTCCTTTACTTTTTTCCCGCTAAAGTTCATTTCAGCAGTTTTACAACCAGACTATATGTACTCATAGCAAACAAAGCGGAAATGCTTTTTCGATAACTGGAAAAAACAAAAATAAAGACAACAGACACAATTAGGTTCTCCGAAATATTATTAACAATAATAGATCGTGGTACAATGTTATTGCCATTGGTAGGCATATACACTTTAACTATTCAGTGTTGAATATTATTTTCATGCTGCTGCCTTGAACAGCGGTGGCTCCAAAAATATTGCCGACAGGGAGTTCAAAATGTCCGACATGGGGGGGGGGGGAAGTGTCAGAGCCGACCAGAACCACGGTCCTGGTCTCGGAATAAAACTCCATGGTATCGCTCACGGGAGAGTTTTTATGGCTATGGCCCATATATATTACTTTTGGTCCGACGACCTCATCGTGGCATCGGGACAAAAGTGGCTCAAAGGAGGGGGATCCTCCCTGCCCCAAACCCGCTGGCGCCACTACTGGCCTGGAAGTAGAAGGCGGGTGGGGGTGATAGGGAAGATTGTTTGCCAGCCCTGGACCTGCCACTGATTCCTACAACAATTAATTCATTCAAAACTACAGAGCAATAGAGTTATAGAGCAATTAGGATGATTCTATTGATCACCTTTGCTGGATAAGATCACCCTCAGAAAATATTATAAAAAGAAACAAATCAATACAAAAAAAAAAAACACACAATGCTGTTTTAAAAACATGACTTTAAAATGTTAGCCATTTTATGACTCCATTAATGTAATATAAAACAATAAAACACACATTATTAGCTACTTTATACATTATCAAGTAAACCATTTAATCAAGTAATAAACTAAAGACATCTGTATGTATAATGAGCACATTACACCCTAGTGCTATCAAGGGACAGCAACCAATTAGAAGTCAACATGATTATTAGGAACTACATCATAGCAAGGTCACATGCATAATTAGAAGTTGTGCTATATGGATCAAAATTAACAACTGACCAATCAGAACTGGACCAGGAGTCTCAAGCACACAAGTTGTCCCACAAACGCAAATTTGTAATTTTCAGAGACGTTAGCAACAATATCCAAGGATTGGGGTGTAATGATGCATTATGAGCAACACCTTAACAGGAGCCACATCAGAATCAGAACTCAATGGCATAACAAACAGGCCTGAGTCTTCTGGCTAAGGCTTCTTTGGGCTCTACTACCCTGGGGGAAAAAGCACTGCCTGAGTCTGTGTTTTATGTGCGTATTTTTTAGGTGTTTTTTTACACGTTCTGCAGTTTGGGGAAAACATGCTGATGGATATCCTGGGCCTCTCTTAAAATCCGGGGGCTCTGGCATTAGTCAGTGACAGCTCAGAGGTATTATGGCACTGGTCGGACCCTATTATGAAACACACTCTACTGCAACACACTCTACTGAACACCAAGCCCCCAAAAATAGCAGCATATCTACGCTCATGAAAAAAAAAACGTTTTACCACCACATGCAACTCCTACGCATAATTGCTAAGCAAAATATATCACACACAGGAGTACATCAGAAGTGATTGAGAAATTCTAAATTTTCAATAGCGCCTCAATGCATTATTGTTTTTTATTTCTTTGAAAGGTCAAGAACGGCTCGAACCATTGCCCCTACTCCATCATGGATTTCATGCACTTTAGTCTCACACATGAACGCTGGCGTGGTGACCACTTTATTAGCCTCATCTACGTGGATCTCAGACACATTCTTATTTACATGTTTCGCCCCCATCTGTTCAATCGCTCCAGCAGTGCCTGCGTAGGGGTAGCGGCCTCCATCTTCTTTATCTTGTCCAACTGTTACTACACATCCGGGAACTAATTTAGCTGCCAACACTGGGGCAATGCAACACAAACTGAAAAAGAATATATATGTACTTGAATTATCAGAAATTTTTACCGAACCTGTGCTACAACAATTACGAATACTCCTCTATGAATGAAAGAGGCTGGAACACATACAGTGGCATACCTATAAGTCTTGAAATTTGGGGGGAGGGGGGCCGGGCGCGGAGGTGAAGTGATTAGATGAGGGGGATAGCTCGCAAAATAACTTTTAACTACTGTACTTGAGTATGATTTTTTTTCCTTCAGACATTATCAATGGTGGGGGCCCGCTAGTATTTTTAGGGGGATGTGCACTCCCTAGGTATGCCACTAAATGCATGACCAGCAGTAAAGGCTTTTAGCTCTTTCTACTGAGAGAAACAGATGCTAAAAACACATTGCTTGGAGTTTAACACTCTCTGTGTATTTCTTCACCCAGGAGTATAAACCTGGTAGGGATGATTGACTTGAAATGAAATTTGTCACACTCAACCGTGGAGAGGTTACCGGTTCAATTCCCATCGCTGCCTCTCCCTGTATTTCAGCTGTAGGGCTGAAATACAAGTTATAAT